CGGGCACCCGGACATAAGCCTTTGTTGTGTGCACCTACATGGTGATCTGTCTTGGTTTCTTTGACATAGATGTTGGAGGTCCGTTCTGTAGTATGAACATCCGGCTGCTTATAGTGTACGATTCTTTTTCGAGCTTTATGGTCAATAAATATGCCAGGTATTTGCGGCAACACATTAGGCGCTGCAATAAAAGCAACAACTTTCTGATGACCTTTGTCTTGCACATGTACTATAGCAAGCCGTATCTGTATTGCACCTAAGACATTTTGCAGCTCTTTGCTAAAGCCAGGATCCACAAGGCCATCACTCTTAACAAGCGATCCATCATCTTCAATTTGAAAGGCCTCATGGCGATCGCTTCCTGCCGTGTCGAAATCAACTGTCCAGTGGTTGTTACTAGCACCGACAACAAAGGAACACTGCAGGCTGCCTTCTTCTTTGCCAAACGGAATCTTGATCTGTTCCTGGAAAATCCTCAATCGGAAGTTTTCGAGTTCTATTCCTTCCGCATAGATGACAAGAAGCAGTCTTTTCTGGATGTAATATGGAATGTCCATGTCGATGAGAATGGCTTGTAGTCGCCATCTTTCTTCTTGCGTGCATGACCTAATATCGAAAAAGGTGACAGCATAGTAATTATAGAAAGTGGGGGCGTCACCAAATCGCATGTTCCAAAAAAGGGGGGTTACTCTTTGGAGGTCTTGCTGGGCAAGGGTGGCGATTTCTTGGCTCAGACAGGCATAAATGGCCTTAAGGGAATCAGCTACTGTGTGAGCTTCGGTCTCAGCAATGCCAAAAGTGATGCAACATCTATCTGTAGCCCCAAGTTCAGTATGCAAGGGAGGATCTTGCGAATACACTCGAAATCGAAAGACTCCCGGCACCGCAGTAATGGTATCCTGAATCTGTGGCGTGAGGAATTTGCTGGAGCAAAGCCATGTTTCAGTATATTCCAGACTTGGCGAATAAACTTCAAAACTGTTTACATTGCGAGCTTCACTAAGTGCAATGAAATATGTCGATTTCGTAAAGATACGCGAGCGCCCAACTTGTGCAAACTCAAAACTTCTGTACTTGCTGATTTGCTGAACATGGGCTCGATGTCTCCTTAGAGACGTGCAGACTCCAATGGCAAGGTCAACACACGTGGCATTTAAAGAGCATTCATGAAAGAGAAGGACGTGCCGGAGTTGACTGTTTGAATGATAGAGCTGCAAAATATTTTCTTGTAGACGACTTTGTATTCCATAGATGATGATATCAATCGGGTGTTTTCCTGAGACAGCCGCATAGATATCCTTGAACTCATCTTCACCAACTACAAAAAGATTACTACTGGATCGTTCAGTATTTACCATGCTAGGAAAACGACAGAGAAAGAAAATGCGTGGTGATGCAGCTAAGGAAGGCCGACGAAGCTGCGCAAAAACTCCTTTTGCTTCAAAAGAGTCAAGAATATCATCATAAACGAACTGAGAAATGGTACAAAACACTTCCTTCGATGACATATTGACACGAGTTCAATGAGAAGCACGAGAGGAGACTAACTAACAAATGAAAAAAGGGGAAGGTAATGTCTAAGGACACCCCCTTCAAGGACAGAAAAGCGAATCGACCAAGAAATCTTAAGAATTACTCGAACGAAAAGCCCTGCTAAACAAGTAAGGCCGAACAAAATTCACAAAAGATGTCTAAGGACACCCTTTGAGGAGGCTTGCGTAAAGGCGGACAAAGTCTGCGAATCAAATGATGTCTAAGGACACCACTTGAGTGTGTACGATGTCTAAGGACAACGCACAGCGGTAAAATAGTGAAAGAATGCGCACAGAGTCGAAGAAAACAAGCCTAACTAAGTACCGGCCAGGAGACAACTTCTTCTCTTTAAGAAGTAGTCCTGATCCTCCTAACTCAACAGATTATTACTGAGAGTTTTGAGCCGACACGTCTTGAGCCAAAGGGTACGGACACCGAACCATACAGTCAGGTGTCCTTTGAGCTTAGCTTTCCAAAAATCTAAGCACCAGTGGCACCCAGTCCTCCAGTGTGATCTTCCTGGTGATACGCAGCATCTGTGTACACGTACCATTGCTCTAGCTCATCGTCATTGATCTCAAAGGGCAAGCCAGATTCCAGCCGTGTCTTCATGTACGGTTTTTTGGACTTGGGTTTTTGCATGGAAATGTCGAGTCTTCGAATGCCGAGCTATGAAAATTCTCCCGAAAGACCTAAGAGCGATTGATAACATGCCCTTGCAGACCATTAGCCACTGCCGTGCCAGTTATTTTTTGCACAAGAAGTGTGTCTCTTCTCAAGACTACTAAGAGCCGGGCTGTAGGATTGCTCTGTTTTGCTTTTTTGTTTCACCCTTTTCTGTCTCGCCTACCTACTTCACTTCCTTAGCGAGGCGAGGCCTGACCTCACCGCACGCCCCGACGGAGAACAAAAAACAGGATGGACACCAATCCAACCTTGGACACCTTGCTGTGCGTCAATTGAGAAGACTTTAACAAACCCTACACCCATTGGATTGGTGCCGTAGAGTTCTGTAAATGCCAGCAGTTCAAAATGCAGTGATTGAATCAATTGGATCCATACAGTTTCACAAGAACTTCCAGACATGAACATGAATCTTTGAGGTATCTTGAGGTCTATACTGTCTATACTCATGAACTGGGGGTGAAGGTCTCGTACGTTCTGGAAGATTTCCATGAGATCCGGGTGGAGCCCCCTCTCGTGAAGTTGCGTGAACTACCCGTGAAGTTGGCGTGAATGTGTATGTTTTTCTTATGAGATTCCATGTTTTACCGTGAGATCCGCGTGAAGTTCATCCCCCCCCAAAAAAAGCACCCACTCAGGAAACCAGAATTTTAGTCCAAGACTGTCCTATTTTGCGAGGACATTTGTGCCGCTCTCAAGGCTTCCACTGTGCTTCATCTGCCTTTCAATGTGGAAACTTTACTTCAATGCCTGATATGAGAGCCCACAAAATCTTTTCTTCCTGCCACATGTAGAAAAGTAAAACATCGACGCAGTTTTTGCTTTAAACTAATACACCAACATTTCCCCACCTTGAAGTAAAACTTCGACGTTTGCAGAGCAGGGGTCATGTGGAGGTTTGAACGCAAGTGGGATGTTGAGGTAAGTTTGGTTCGGGGCGCGTGGACTTCTTACCAACATATTTGGATTTCATGATGTCCGTCATGGTTTTGGCCCAAAGGGTTGGCTTATGGTGGCATGCCTCAATTGGGGCAAACCAGGGTGGCCGCCGTGGCCGCCCCGATGAGCCCAATGTGGCTCGGATCTGCAGGGAAGGCACATTGAGTGGTACCGAGTTTCCCTTTTTCGGTGGCACCACTAAGGTCTGATGGCGCTCGGCTTGCAGATGAAGCACCAGCAGAGGTCGGGCAAATTTTGATCACGCTGGCAAGAAATGAACGACAGTTTTCTTGCTTTTGCCGACAGGAAGCTACCATCGTGGTGAGCCAAAGAAATGTCCACAACTTAGACGCCCATTTAGTGTTAGATTCGGTTTGTGTGCAGATGAGGCAGAGCCTGGGCAGACGGCAGATGCGGTGGACCCAATCCACTCAATTCAGGCCATTGACATGAAACATTCAGAAGACAATCGCCTGTTGACATCAAACCACCAATCCAACACAGAGAGTCTTTGTTAGTCTTGAATGAAGGACCGCTCAATGCCTTGGGCACAGCCACGCATCTCTTTGGAGGTTTGCGGGAACATGCCGCCGCAGCTTTGTGGAAAGAATGTAGATACGGTGCCCTGTGCTGAACAAAATGGAGCATAAGGATCTTTTAAAACATATGTACAGTGTGTTATGGAGAGCATGCATGTGTTCTCACAAGTATGCAATGACATGCATGATTTGGAGTTGGCATGGGAATGGGCTGGAGTTTCTGCAATCCATTCCATTAAGGTTAAAGTGAAATGCAATCCATGAGTGGAAACGGTGTGGTGTGATATGCACATGGTGTGGTGTGGTGTGTGTGTGTGTGTGAGTTGCCAACAATACTAAGTTCAACCAAGATCTGATGTTCTGATTCCATGACATCCTAGTGCCCAGTCCAGTGGGCCCCGAAGACCGAGTTTTCACAGCCGCGTCAACGTTGCTCGGCCGAGGGTGGGGGATTGAGCTGAGGTGATTTTGGGTGGGATTTTGAACCAAACTCTTGCAATGGACATTTGGTGACCATGTTTTTGTCCCTTCTTGGTGGAGGTGTACTTGGTAGCGGATTCTTGTTTCACACTCATTTGCCAAATGACTTTGTGTGGCAGCTTTGCTTTTGGTACTCAATCTTCAATACAGTAATTGATAATTGCCGGCCCGCGGCGTGAGGTGGCGGGCCAAGCGTAAGTACATGTTGCTCACACAACTATCTTGGCAATACCTAGAGAACCTCGAGGACCATGTGTTCAAATACATAAGCCTTACTAAGGCCTTACTGAAGCTTTATATGCTAGGCATGAAAAAGGGTCAAAACCCGGAGCCCTAAACCCTGATTGATCTTCCTGGCAATCTATTCTGTTCATTTTGCGTAGTCAACCAGGAGTCCCGGTTTTAACCCACAACCATATATAGCCTGGGAAGTGAATGTATATGTATGAGTACTTAGATCTTGGGTGCCTACAAGTTCCTTGATTTTTGGGGAACGTGCTCAGGTTGCAATTCGGACTTGGCTCGGATTGCCTGTGCCTGCATCACAAGCAGCTCTGCACAAGCTTGTGTCATTTTGTGGCCTTTTCTTGGATTAAAGTTGAAACACAATACAGATTGGCAAACTCAAGCTGGGTTGTTGTGGCCTGGCTGAGAATAAGGAGCTGGACTTGCGAAGACTCCAAGCTGAGGACAAGTGTTGGTAGTTTGCTTCTTCACAGCTGAAACGACATGCTGGCAGGAGTTTGGCATTTCATTTGGTGTGCCAACTGGTGATGCTGCAATTATTAAGGCCCTCGTGTCGAACAGAATTCTTCTTTGCTCTTTTGGTGTGTTATGTTTGCGAAACAAGAGGTGGGCATTTTTGCATGATCAACTTTCAGTTGGTTGGTCTTTGCTGCATGCCGGTCCTCAGTCTCGTGCTCAAGCCATCAGCATTTGGTACCCGAACAGAAGCTCTGCTGCCTTTCTGTCGGGCCCTTAGACTTAGGGTGCGAAGCCGACACGACAGGTGGCCTGACCAGGATGGAGATTCTGACATACACCTTTGGTACATAGTAATTCTGGCGCTTGTGGTCCCAGTTCTGTATAGTTGATGAAGCTGAATGCTTCCCCCGTGCACTTGCTCGTTGTGAGGACATGGGACACAATTCATTCAGCAACACAGGTCCTTAAGGCACCAAAAGGAGAAAATACTCATTACCTCAAGTCTGATGTGTTTTTTTCGTCACCTGAAAAGCTGGTGAGATTGCAGCTTTGCCTCAGGCCTGTCATGTTTGACTTCAGCTGCGCATCTGCCTGCAATCCTCCCAACCCTTCCGCCAACACTGTGAAGGAGAGGGACTGAAAGTGCAGTCTAGCAGGAATCATTCGTAAGTCCTCTAAGTAGCATTTGAGTTCCTTGATGGAAACAGTTGACCATTTGTTGAAGCATGACGTCAGTACTATTGTAAAGCTCTAGAACGTCTAGAATATGACGTCTTTGTTGGAAGACACCAAGCACAGATGACCCGGTCATTGGGCCGAACGCAGGTGAACATGGAGGACCTCTCGAAACGTGCTGCAGAGGTGCCATGCAGCTCATGCTGTTGCTGTCCTGGTGCTTCACGCAGCTCATGTAGACAAAAGATGTAGACGAGTCATTTGTGTCATTCAGAGGTCCAACTTGTTGAAGGCTATCCTCGAATGACACCTACTGAAACGCTGGATGAAATGATCGATGAAGGTTCCGAAGCGATTGTGTCGACAGGAAGCCGAAGCGAAGCGAAAGGCGGCACCTCCTTGGGGGGCGGCCGTGGCGGGGTCAGATGAGTTGGATCCTGGACGGAGTTGGATCATGGACGGTCATCCTTCACGGCGTGATGGGTTGAAGTCGGCGCGTGTGGTTCATTCCTCCGGGCCAGGTGGAGGAGGAGGAACAGCGCCGCAAGGAGGAGAACTTGAAGAAGGAGGTGTGGGGCCTGGCTCTAGAGGAGGTTAAGAATTGAAATCACCAGGCCAGGTAGTATCGTCAAACAATTAAACTAAACATATGAAAAAAGTGTGAAAAAGTGACCTTAAACTGTAAATGCCAAATCTACAATCCAGAAAAATGTAACCATTGCATTTTACATTTTGTGAACATGTGCTCTGTTTTTTCAAGCAACAAAAATGCTCTGGCTGCCAATATGATCTCGTTTGGAGAGTGCAACCTGCGAATCTGCAGTTAATCAGCTTCCCCCGCCAGAAGCAAAAACTGAGTACAATTTTTAGTCACGCTGCTCCGAAGTCTCCTCAAGGTTCTTTTGCAGTTCTTTCTTTTGCTGCCTTAATGATACTTGGCAGTGTTGGCTCGCAGGCAACTGGTTGCAGGCTGCGCTGGAGAATGCCTCTGACTGTGGCAGGGAGGGTGCAGTGTAGGGCATTCCTTCCCTGCCAGCCTCGTAGAGGCCGTGATTCTTCTTGACTTGGTATTCTCCAGCAGCGACAGGGCTGCCAATGACAACTAAGCTTCCAGCAGCGGCAGTTGAACGGCGCAAACTTGCAGTAGGGAAGTCCTGCCCCAAGCAAACTTGCTACAGGGGAGCCCAAAATAAATCCTGAACGCAGCGCTGCGCCGAGAAATCGGGCAGAGCCGCCGTACGTAGATTGACGTTTTGCGTGGAGCAGCCATGGGATTCTCCGGGTTGCAAGCCAAAGACGAGAACTGCGGCTCCAAAAATGCACTCGCAAAATTTCCAAAAATGCGACCCAAAATTGTAAATTTCAAATCGCGGGAATCAACCATGCGACCAAACATGTAAAATGAACATTCCAAAGTGCAGAAATGCGAAAAAAATAGGAAAATGTGACAACCTACAAAAAAGAAAACAGGAAAAAAAGCAAAAAAATACGAAAAAAAACGCGAAAACATCTGAATTCGAAATTACATTTTTAAAAGCTGTGAGAAAAATGCGAATTCGAAAGCGCATTTTTTGAACAATGCGATAATATTGCGGGCGCCACAAAGGCAACGCGGAGAAGACAGCCGCGCAGAAACAGTAGCAACAAATTTTACATTTTTCTCCGAAGTGGCCCGCTGGACGCGCGCAGCAAGTTAATATTCCCTTTCAGTCTGCCAGAAATCGCCTTCTGCAAAAATTCTCCTGGCAGGACAAGGGACAACTTGAGCGCGCTTCCAAACAGCACAGCATGTTTCAAGATAGCTCGGTGGGCCTGCAAAGTGTCTCTCCAGAATGAAAAGAATCACTATATACCAAAAAATAATGCGCGCGCAAGCTAAACAGAAACATTGTCATCGGGGGAGATAGTCTTGTTTCAGTCTGTTTGTTTTGCTTGGGCCTTACAGTTGTGTGATGCCTGCCTGGGGGGCACAAGGCTTCAGGATTCTGCGAAATCTAGAAAAGTGCAAATGTTCCAGCAAGGCTGAGCAGCTGTTTTGAGGCTCGGCTTGGCTGTGGCTCATTGTAATGGGTACCAGACACACCATTTGATTATTGTTGTTGTTTTTTCATTGGGAAGCTCCCAAGATTGTTGTTTTTTCATTGGGAAGCTCCCAAGAAGGTAGTTTCCTACGTGAGCACCTTCTGTAATTTTTACAACTCAGTGTGGCAAGTTTATTTTTAACTTTTTTGCAAAAATTACATTTCCTAGTTGCCTTTTCTTTACATTTTTTTCACATTTTCTATTTTCCCTTGTTTACAGAGTGTACCTGAGTCTGGAAGATATGAAGTTCTGTGTGGACATAGGGCGAAATATGTAAAAGAGAAAGTGGGTGTTCATATTTCGGCAGCAATCTTTAGGGTTCTATGTGACTCCATGGACTCACCAATGTCCAAGGTGCCAGCGTACTTGCAAACGAAAGCAACATCGCTTTGATTCATTGATCTATCTACCTACAGATGTTGATGAATCTTCAGGCAGAATAACATATAGGGTCCTTCCTATATCCATCTGGATCAAAAAAAACGTTTCTCGTTTTCTTCCTGACGAATCCAGGAGGCCGCTCGCCGGGAGAAGGAAGCAGAAGAGCGCCGCAGGAAGGAGCAGGAGGAACGGCCGATCGGGAACAGAGCGTGCGAGGCGGACTCCTCCCGCTCCCTTTTAAGCGATGAAGGATCCATGAAACCATCATTGAGAAAGCAGATCATTTGGGGCTAAACTTGCGGCTTCCTTTTTGCAAGCCAATTCCAGGAGCTCCAACGACAGGCAGACGAGGAGAAGGCGAAGGCTCAACACAACACTTTTGGAGCTCTAGCCCAGCTAGACTAAACATGCTCCAGTCTTACTAGATCTGTTTGGAACATGATCTGTTTGGAACACGTTTGCTGAATGTGTTCGAGTTTGGTGTTCGGGTCTTTCAGGCTACAGGCTTGATCAAGCGCAAGGGTCACTCATTCCCCCTTTCTCGCAGCGCTACTAGTAGCTCCTGGCATTACTGCTAGGAACAAGAACCTACTAGTAACAAGGTGCCTTACTAGTAATAACAAGAAACTACTAGTAGCAAGCAATGCCCTTTTGTGATTGCATTGCTTTCTGAGCTGTCCATGATCGTTCCTGCCGCTGGCGGGCTGTTCTAGGAAGTTGCGGATGCTGCTGCCGCTGCAGAATCCGAGAGGAAACTTGCCGAAAAGGCGGAACAGGCACTGTGCTGGGTGGCTGTGGAATGGGATAGCCATTTAACTGCTTGGCATTACAGAAGATTGTACTGTAGATTTACTCCAATATTTGGTGGCTTCAATGACCTTCTGGTTAAAGCTGAACAAACCTGTAAGTGTACAAAAGGTGTAGGTGTAACTTAGACAAGCATTAGAAGTCTACCTTTGCCCTGGAATTTCTGGATCCCTGACACTGTTGTTTCTTTCAAAAAGGGGCTGTCAGCGCTTTCCATGCTTTCAGCGATCAAAAAGCTGGGGATGCGGCGGCCGCCCCTGGAAGGTGGCCGAAACACCTTCGTTTGAGCAAAACTCCCATTCCCAAACTGATACAAAGCGATGCCTGGAGCGATACCTCACCAGCCACCTTCCCATATGTAGAACCACAACTCAGTGTTTCCTCATGCCACGTAGCGCAGAGCTTGTGTTGAAACAATGACTTTCATGTGGGAGCTTCTAAGAGGACCCACAAAGAATCCTACGGGTTGAGAGAGATTGTAGAACTCTTTGTTTTTGATTGGGACTGTGTGGAACGATAGGGAACCTTGAAGAGCGATACCATGGCAGTAGAATGACTATTGGCATGTTTTGATCGACGCACTGACGCACATTGTCGAATCAGCTGTTGAGTGGCGGTGGTGACGCAGCCACTCAGCAGCGGCATGATTCTGCTTCGTCCCGCACAGGAGGCGGCTGCACGCAAGAACGACGTGATGGCATGGCTCAAGAAGCAAGGCACGAGGGACTTTCGTGTGACACATGTGGGACGCAGATGGGATGCGGAGTTTGACGTGATGGTGTGGCAACGATCTTTTCCGGATGGGTTACAGTAGTCTTACAGAAGCCTGGAACCTGTCAATATATACTTCTTGGAAGCTGTATTATATATATATATGTATATATATATATGTATATATATATATGATTTTGGTTGTCATTCTGACCCATTGTCAATGTGAAGGTGGTTGGTCACCAGCTGACTTTGTTTGATTTTTTGGGACCAACCTGCAAGGCCTCATTCGCTTCAAACATTCCAACATTGGTGCTGCAGCCACTTTGTAGCTATGCACAAAGGCTTCAAACATCTAGACAATTGTTCATATTTTGTCTATGAGTCTATGAGACATGATTGTCATTTTCGGCATTTCAAGTTTTCTTTCTTTCCAAATGTGTTTATTTGGCTGAAGAGGGTTGTTTGCAAAAGGTCCAAGCGCCACACTGCTTGAAAGGGTTGTGTCAGCACCACAAAGGGCACCATCGATATGCGGAATTTCGGCGATTTCGCCGTATATGATCACCATCGATGCTGTGTTCTGTAACAGAAAGCGTGTCCACTCCCGTAACACATGACTCACCAAAGTCAGCGAGACGTCCCTCGTCCTCGCGTTGAGGCTTCACTGGAGTGAACAATCCCAAGAAGTCCCTCTTCAGCACCACGTACCCATTGCACAAAGCCGCCGAATCTGGCAATGCTAAGATTGTCCGAAGCTCGGTGAGTGGACCTGGGGTCGGAGACTTGCCGTTCACCTGGCCATGCCGGCCATGCCACTGAGAACCGCAACACCTTGGGATCTTTGGGTCGAATTGACCAAGGTGGGAGGGCTTCTTGAGCAAGGAGCCAACCCAGCACAGAAGAACTCCGCCGGGAAGACAGCACTGGAGGTGGGTGACTGGATCAACAGTTTTTTGTTTTCTCAACGTTGGACAATTTGTTTTCCATGGTGCTGCTTTCTTTTCTCGTTCGACGGCAGGTGGTCATGAAGAAGAAGAAGGCCGACTCTCACAAAGAGGTGCCAGCTTCGATTTTTTCGGACATGTGATATGTTGCAATGCTACCCTCGTCGCCTAGTTCATCAATGATTTCCCAAAGTTTCCACAAATTGGCATCATCAAATGGGAAAGGGTCAAACCCCAAACCCCAAAACAGTGCTTAGAAGCACCTTTCGTCTATTGCATTGGTGCCTGCTGTCCTTTGCTGCCCTTGTGTTTTTGGCTTTGTTCGCAGAAGATGCTTGTCCCATAGTGACTCATAGGAACCACAGTCAATGACCGTTGACCTGGCTGGCAAGGGAGCCGGGCTTGATATGTGTGTAAGCAAGGAACTCCACAAAAGAAATGGCAGGTTGACGTCCCCGGTCATTCCGTTTGGTTCATTTTGGGACCAGGGGTCTCCCATATCCAAGCGAAGTGGGCCGTTCAGGTCCTCGCTTTGCTGTCATCTGCCGGAGATCGTGCGTGAGCGGTTCCATGATCGAGCCAAGGAAGCATTTTGAGAAATGTGTGATGAAGTAACCATTCTTCTTGCACAAAGTGGTGGTCTTTGTTCACGTATCACCTTGTTGTTCATGTGGCTCGCTCGACTCTCTCTTGTGAAGCCATTTTTGTGGTCCTTTCAGGATCGCTCAATTCAGCGCCTTGGGGTGGAGAAATCATTTTTGGAGGGATCAGACACTTCACCCATCAGTGCCCATCATCAGACAATAAGATCTCTCCATCATGAAGTGGATGACATCTAAGAGTCACTTCAGACAATATGAATCCCCTTGGCACTCAGCACAGAGATGGTGGCACGGTTCCATGAGCGTTCAGTGCCAGGCCCCATTTTGCCGGAAAGGCCGAAAGAGGCAAAAAGATCTTAATTCGTCCTTGTCCACTTGGTCCAGTTACCAGGTGAGGCTTCGTCATAAGAGCCTGCTCCATGCAAGCGTGAGCCTGGCCACGTGCATGGAGCAAGCTGACAGCGAGCGTACAGATGGGATGCCCCAACAGAATGAAGCGAGCTGTCCCAGGAATGCACTCTTGCAAAAAGGGATCATTTTCTGAGGTTGCATGTTTTCAGAGTGTTGAGCTGCTTGTTCTTGTGTGAAGCGCATTGGCAGGTTTTTGGTCCACAAAGAACGCCTCTCGAACGACAATCCATCACGAAGACTTTACCAACACATTGGTTTTGACTACATATTGGGTTGGAGGCCATCGCTATTAGGTTGGAGGCCATTCCTTCCAGATTGGTCTTGACCTAGCAACCCTTGCCTTGTCTGTTCACTTGGAGATTTCTCGGTGGAACCTCGGAAGGCCGTCAAGCGGGTGATCATACTCTCTGTGATTAGCCTGGACTCCCACCGACCGAGAGCGCTGAGAGTGAGCTGGGCAGGACTCATCCAGGAATAGAACACTTGGCCTAGCCATGCCACGGGTCTATATAGAGGGTTCCGTAGCCTGGCACTCGTCTTTCGCTTGAGAGAGCTTGCACAGGCATTTGGTTGTAAAAAACCTTTTTCTGCGACCACAGTTGGCTGCCTCCAATACCAACTCCGCTTTCCAAAAGCATGAATTTTTGCTCTCGTCTTTCCTTCTAAGTGCAAGTTTCCTTTTCACACAGCTTGCAAATGATTTCTTTCAGCACACTTACAAGCCTAGGGCTCCCAAATACACATCACATACCCTACACACACAAACCATATTCAACGTGAGTAACTGTGCTCCCAACCCTGTGCCACACCTCTCTGGGCTGCCGGTGGGGATTCGGGACGTGCCGAAAACAAACGTCCTCAGGTTGCACCTACTACATTTGCGCCTTCATTGCACGATTACTTCTTGGGCAATACAGTGATCCAGGCCACAGACCTTTCTTTTTTTCCCCCACGCACGGAGCTGGCGGCTTGTTTGGGGCCGCTTATTTGGGACGAGATACCCATGCTGGTTCCGGCCGGGCTTACAGTGGTGCTGCTGAGTCTTCAAGAGCGGAAACGGTTGGCTTCTACAAGTCTGTTGATGTCCAAAGTGCTTTTTGTTCAGCGTGGATAATGGGCCAGTGGCGCTTTGTTGGAGGAAAAATAGGTGGGTTGATGCTAGCTTCATGATACATGCTGTGTCGCATGCTGTTGCGCCGCCTCGGACCCCACAACGAGCTGGAGGTAATCCGAACTCGCCGGACGAGCTTTGGTCGGGCTGTAGTCAGTGCGGAAGCCTGTGAGGGTTGATGAACCACACCGGAGGTGTGAGTGGACCTTGTTGCAGGAACCTCTAACAAAAGAGAGGTGAACATGCAGCGCATAGTGGAGCAGTTGTATTCAATGGGGAAGCAGAATCCAGTTTGAAGTGGCCGACAGACCAGTGGACTGCAGGCAAAGTTAGCTCGTGTTGGTAGTAACAACATGTCAAAGTATTCAAAACGGCTTGAAACATACAGTATAAAATAACCGACTTGCATATTTACAACCTTTTGCTAGCTCTTAGCTCTGGTGCTCCAGACATCAGCACTCAGCTCTTTGAGAAGTTGCCGACATCACACCACACCGACACCACACCGACACCGTGAGGCTGATCATTGAGCTCAGTATCCCGGCTTGCGGGTACTATGGAGCTTTGTATACACATAGGACTGCTTGTGGCTGATCTGGGTGTATGAACCAAATCCAAGGATGCCGCAGGGAAAAGAGACACGGCTTCAGGATTGCTCGTTGTGAGACACACCCACTGTCTCTTCAATGGAATGGAGGAGAGTCTTAGATTGCCCGTTCCTAGCAAGGACTTGCTGGCGCAAAGTTTTTCAAAGCTTCCCCGAAGTTGGAGAGCATCTCAAGGTTATGTGCCCGCAGCTGAACGGTACTTCTTCCCACGTGTTCCTAGTTGCCCTGATCGTCCCCGAGTCCAATTTGTTGAATTGAGTGACTGTCTGCTGACATGAAGGGTAAAGTGATCTGAAACTCATGCCGAATGCACAGCTGGAGTCTTGGAATAGATAGCTGTTTTGGAGTCTTGATGGAGCTCGTAGGAGGAAGAAACGAAGAGATTTGAGGACGTACGCACCTGTCAAACTTGCAAGGCCTTGCATGTGACCTGCCAGGACTTTGCTGTTCTTCTTCTGTGGTGCCAACCTGATCTTCGTGGCCTCCCGACTGATATGGCAGTGGGTCAAGTCAAGTCGAAATATGCAGTAAACTATTCTGTTCTTCATTGCGCATGAATGAACCGCAATGACTCATCTAGTAATCGCACCAATTACTTCAAGAAAACTTTGACCTTGCTTTGAACTGTTTGCATCTCGGATCCAGCTGATGTGGCGTGTTCCTTAGCAAGTCTGTATGTACCTTTCCGCTCTCTGTTCGGTCGCTGTGATGCTTGGTGTTCTGTTCGGTTTCCTTCTCTCAGTGCCACGGGAATCTCCAGGTGGCCTCTGGGATCAACTTCCTTCGTTTCGTGATTCGCATGAGTGGAGGTGAGGAGGCGTCCGGAGGCCCTGGTGAGGAGGCCGGTGAAAAAAGCACCTGAGAGTAAGGCTGCTTCTTGTTACTAGTAGTAAGAATGCTCCTAGTAGCGATGCCAGGAGCCCCTAGTAGCATCCTTGCTTCTAGTAGTAAGGCCAGGAGCCCCTAGTAGCATCCTTGCTCCTAGTAGTAAGGCCAGGAGCCCCTAGTAGCATCCTTGCTCCTAGTAGTAAGGCCAGGAGCCCCTAGTAGCATCCTTGCTCCTAGTA